CTCTGATGAATCGTTTGGTAGGAATCACAGAATCGTTCAACTCACTACTAGAAGAAACTTTTGTATCATCAATATTTTGTGGAGATTTTGTCAGAGATTTTCTGGTTAGTCTCTTCACTTCTGTTCCCTCTGGCAGAGGTTTGTCGATGTCAGCTAAAATTGAGGACTTTGCAGTCATAGAATGCATCATGGACCTTGTCGAACGAACGAATATTCGTGGGATAGTTACAGAGTTTGCAATCATTTCTTTCTCACCCACTTGAAGATTATCAGAAGCATCAGCAGAATAAGATTTATGAGAGTTATTCTGTTTTGTAGGCCCAGGTACCAACGATGCTCGATCTCGTCTCAATTTCGTGAGATCAACCTCTTCGTCAGTTGAAGAGCTGTCATTATCAGCTTGGTACTTGCGTCTTACTGATGATTTTGCATTGGAATACTCAGGAACCTTAGACTTTGTTAAAACACTACTGAAGAACGTTGAGATACAGGTATTGATGATGTTTTTAATACTTCTTTTATTTCACTCGATTTTGTTGATTTTGATAGAAATTCATCAATGCCAGTTGCCCTTGAGGACGTTGTACGTAGGGAATTCTGCCTCGGACTCTTCGAAGGACCGTCTCCTCGTGAGATTGGTGCAGGAGGTGCATTCATTTCTTTCTCACCAACTTCAAGATTATTAGAAGCATCAGCAGAGCGAAGTTTTCGAGAGATATACTGTTGTGTAGGTCCAGGTACCAACGATGCCCTACCCCGTCTCAATTCCGTGAGATCAACCTCTTCATCAGTTGAAGAGCTGTCATTATTAGCTTGGTACTTGCTTCCTACTGACGATTTTGTATTTGAATACTCAGGGACCTTGGACTTTGTTGGAAGACGTACTGAAGAGCGTTGAGATACAGGTATTGGTGATGGTCTTGATATTCCTCTCATTTTTTTCGATTTTGGTAATTCTGGCAGAAATTCATCGATGCCAGTTGATTGGGAGGTCGAACGTTTCGGGGTCTTGGAGTTTCGACGTTTGAGTAGAGGATTTCGTTAAGGATTTTGAGAATGCGTTGAGTCTACTCAATCACGAATATCACTGTCAATGTTCTCACTTTCAACGCTTGATGAGGCTGTAGCTTGGTTCCTGTAGGAAAAAATTGTCATCATGGAACGATTTCAAGGCAAAATTTTATGAAATTTGTTTGTAACAACGCAAATTTTCATAGAATATATCTCTGGAAATTTTCTCAGAATGGAAAAAGCTCGGAAAAGAGAAAAAGGAACAAACAAAAGTTGGATTGAAAACAAAAGCAATTGAAGAATTGTCACATTGAAATTTAATGGAGGAGAAAATGGTGTTTATCTGGGCCATAATTAAATAAACGTTTATTTTATACACACCTGGATGAAGGCAGTTGTGAACTCACAGGTTCTTCTCGTTCCATATTGTCAGCAATTACAAAATCACTCGATGGGATGATATCTGAATTGAAAGGAAATATCCCAGTAGCTCTGAAGCCTGCTGATGCTGTACTTGGTATAGCTGTTTGATCACAAGCCCTCTTGATTATTCTTCTTATTTGATATCGATTCAGTCGTTGTCCTTGATGGGTCTTAAACCATTTGTTGCAGGCATCTTTGAATTTAGCCTTGAAGGGGCCAAAGAAAGAGACGTCCAGGGGTTGCAGCTTATGAGTCATGTGACTTGGTAAATATACCACTGTTACATCATGCTGACGACATAATTCGAGGGCTGCGTACAGCATGTGCGAACTATGTCCATCAAGAATCAGCAAATTCTTTGGGCCCGTCAAATTTGGGAAAAATGCCTCCTACAGTCACCTTATGAACAATTCACTGTTGATGTACGATGATATTGGAGACATATAGATGTGATATCCTGGAGGTAAACTTCCCAATCCTGATTTTTCTTCTTGCCTTTCATGATGAGAATTGGTAGCAAGAATTGTCCTTGTGCATTACAACAAGCTACCAGTGTCACATGTTCTCCTCTCTCAGCTGACGTTGTGGAGTACACATTCCGTGTACCTTTCTGGACAATAACCTTCCCAGACTTATTATTTATTTCCAATTCAGCTTCATCCATATTCCCAATGTTTTGTGGCTTATTACACAATGAACTGTCACACAGAGCCTCCAGATCCAACTTAAAATAATCCTCTACTTCACGACGATTGAAACCTTGTGCTCGTGCGAGTGATAAGCTCTCTGGTACTCGAATACTCAGTTCTTTGTAACGGAGCAAAAATAACGTAAGCCAGCCATATCCAGCTCTTTCTTCCTCTTCGTTAAATTTATTGGTAATACCCATTTCCTTAGCAAGTTGGAATACTGCAGTTCTGACATCATCTCGTGTTAAAGGAAATCCACATTGTTGCATCTCTTTTATTCTGTCTACAAGAATACGTTCGTTCTCCACCCCCAGCCAGGGAGGCCCTCCCATACCGATCTTCTTTGAATTACCAGTCTTAAGACGATTTTGAAGAGTGGTGCGAGGTATTCCGAATGTTTTAGAAGCTGTCAGAACACGCATGTCCTCGAGTCGTACGGCATTGCAGGCTTCGTCCATATCATTTTCATTCCAATTTCCATGATTAGAATTACGTTTTCGCTTATATATAGTGGGTACCATCACTTCGAACCTTCATTAATTTATGATTCACTATTAGTCCTGCCTTGTGCCCGTTAAATACCACTTGAATTGACAAAGTAAACAATCAGATCCGCCATGGCAGGTTTCGCCGGTCACGTGACCAGTTAAAGCTGAAAACCCTAGAGGGCGGCTAGGGATTTTCCTACATTTATTGTTGAAAGGGTTGATTTTCATGTGCGTCTGAGGACATGGGTGGTGGGAGTTTCGAATTAAAAAATTTCGAGAGTGCGACAATAAACAATATTTCGTACATCGAAAATTTACTCATGTTATTACATTCAAACATCTTGAAGTAATTAATAGAAAAAAATGTGACTCCTATTCATTTTTTTTTATTGGGACTCCTATTCAGTTATTTCTGATTCAGTTTTCACATTAAAAAATGGAAATGATAATTGAAAAATGATCTATGGAGTGGAAAAAATAATGAAACGGATTTTCATTGTGATCTTTTCGCCATTCTTTTTTTTTCTTTTTTTTCAACTAGGGGAGGATAGGACAAAGTGGACAGTAGAACAATTTGGGATGCAAGATAAAATTGAAAATCATGATGAACAATTAAAAAAAAAAACATTATCGATTTTTTTTTCTTCTCATTTTTAACCCTGATGACCATTTCACCCTTGTCTCCAACGTCCGTAAGAGTCGTTTGACTCTTAACACTTTTTGACCCTCAATTTCGAACGTCCTCAAGGATCGTTCGATTCTTAAGGACATAAAAAACGTCCTGTAGTCACTGAAATCCGAAATTCAGTACCATTCCATTTTGCCCCGCGTTCCACTTTGCTCCGCATTTCATTGTCTCCCGAGTTCCGCTTTGCCCCGCGTGCTACTTTACCCCGTCCTACCCTGCTGAATACATATTCCAAGTTTTTTCATTTGAAGGAGCTATCGAAAAAGAAAAAATAGGTGACCATCTCTCCCTAAATGAATGAAAATGTAAGTGCCCATCTCTCCCTTTTTTTAAGGGGACATGAACACGCGGATATAGTCAAATAAAAATAATTAAATCGTGGAATTGGCGGTAGAAAATATTCATCAAGGGTACAATTTTGGGATATTATGGGCCTAAATTGGAAAAGAAATGATTATTTTCTATTTCCTACAGTTATAACGGAAATATCGACTCTTGTTTTTTTAGTATCAAAATGAATTCGTCACGGTTTGACTGACTTAAATGGGGCAGAATGGATTTGAATAACGTGAGATAGTTGGGCATTGAGAACATAAAAAATGATACCAAAGGGCAAATTTTTCACGCGCACCATTATCGAACAATCGGCGATGCCCATCCCCCCAAGTGCCCATCTCACCCTCAATTTGTCTTTATAAGAATGCGCAAAACTGATTCCCCAGTTAACAGGATTTAACTAATATTGAACTAAGTCTATGTCCCAAAATATGATAATTTGATAATTTCGCGAAAGAATGATGATGCTAGACGGACGGGTAGAACTACTGTTTTCTTAGTTTTACAAAGGATCACAAATTTTATGTTAATGTTCTTTCACTACCGAGTAGATCACTTAATAACTTTTGAGTCCAACCAGTGTATTCGCTGCCGGATCAGTTTTTAGCGGAATTTGCGAGCGATGGGCGAAATTTAAATGGATTCTGACGGGAGCGGGAGATGGTCCACAAATTATCACACGTCACAATATTATTAAACAGTTCGCAGAACTTAAAATGCAGAGCAATTGTACGCGGAACTCAATACAAATAACAGAGCAATTCGGGGAAAGTTAAGTACACTGTACGATGGCGAAATGCAAATGAGGCCGATTAAAGGACCGCAAGGTGGCAGGTGTCGATCATCGAGGGTCCAAACGTGCCCCAATTTGAATGGGGGCGTTCACTGGACACCTGTCCATTAAGTGGCGCCTCAGGTATCAGAGGTGAGAGGCCACTGGTCATCTTAGGCTATTGCGCAGGTCAGTTAAGCGTAGCCATGCAAGCATGCGAGCGGGACTAGTGTGCGTGAGCGTGCGTGTCTGTGAGGAAAAAAAATTCGGTGAAAAACCGAACATTCAGCCCCGCCGTCAGCAGGCGCTGACACCTCTTTGCGCAGGTCTGTAACAAAAAAAAGAGATGAATCGTGCTCAGGACAATAATTTCTCGAAGAGCGACTTCACCACTGGAGTTCATCTGCGATGGTCAAGGTGCGAGTACACCCAAGATCGTTGGAGGCGTAAATTCCGCAGAGCTCAGCAGACCCGCTTCCACTCAGCGGCCAGGTTCGAAGACGAAGGTCGGAAATCTTCGCCTAGGTCTGGTCGAGAATGAAGTTGAAGACGACTCCAGTTGTAGAAATGAGCGAACGCAGGACGGGAAGGTCTTAAACATCATTGGTCGAGACGGGCAGTAGAGCCAGTTTGGAGATGGGCCTCTGAAGCGTAGAGCTGGACGTCTTGATGGTGACCACCCTGGTGAGTCCATCTCTACCAGGGTGGAGAGCGATGACTCGAGCGAGAAGCCACTTCGTTGGTGGAAACCTCTCGTCGGTGAGAAGGACTAGAGAACCGACCTTCACATTGTACGTTGGGTGGTGCCAGTTGGAGATGGACTGGAGATGTTGCAGATAGCTCGTGGACCACCATTTCCAAAAGCCCTGAACCTTCTGCTGAATGAGCTGCCAACGAGACAGACGAGCGATGTTCAAGTCGTTCAGCGGAGGCTCAGGCAATGCTGTCAACGCCTAACCAATCAGGAAATGTCCTGGAGTGAGCGCACTGACGTCGTCAGGATCTTTGGAAAGAGGTTCAAGTGGTCTCGAGTTGAGCACAGCTTCGATTTGCGCGAGTAAAGTGGTGAGTTCCTCAAATGTGAGCAGAGTATCGCCGATCGTCCGCTTGAGATGGAACTTCACCGACTTTACCGCGGCTTCCCATTTACCTCCGAAGTATGGAGCACTTGGAGGGTTAAAAGACCACTTGGTTCCATCGTCGAGCAAGAGACGAGCGAGCTGATCAGATTCCTGAGAGGCTATTGAGAAGAGCTTTCTTAATTCTTTGTCGGCTCTCAGGAAATTCGTCCCGCAATCCGAGAACAAGTTCCTGCAGAGACCCCGACGAGCAACGAAGCGACGATATGCTGAGATGAATCCTTCAGCTGAATAGTCTGAGACGACCTCGAGATGAACTACGGACGTGGTCATGCAGACGAATATCGCAAGCCATCCCTTGTACGACTTATGACCACGCCCCTTCCACGAGCGGAGCGACACCAGTCCAGCGTAGTCAACCGCAGTGTTGAGGAACGCTCGGCCACGGCTGAGACGAGCAACTGGGAGCTGGCCTATGAGCTGTTGAGCTCTGATCCCTCGCTGTCTAGCGCATGGAACGCACTTCAGGATGAATGATCTTACCGGGGCTTTTCCACCGAGGATCCAGTAAGACCTTCTAAGTTGACCAAGAGTGAGCTGTGTTCCTCCATGAAGAGTCCTGAGATGGGCATCTCGAATGATGAGGTGAGAATCCCGAGGTATGATGATCTGATGCTTATTTTCGCAGTCGAGCTGAGCAAATTTCAACACGTAGAACTCCCCGGTGATCCAGAAACGCTGTCAATCGAGTGAGTGGGTGAGTTGAGCTAAGATGTTGTCTTCTGGACAAGGTCGTAAGCTCAGCTGAGAAGTGCGCAGACTAAGTGAGCTTGACCCAGAGCAGTCGGGCTTGCTCGATGTCACCAGGGTTCAGAGCTGTTGCTAACGATGATCCAGGAATTCTTCTGAGACGAGCAATGACGCGTTGACAGATGGCCTTAATCCGAAGCAGTTTGCTGAGTGAAGAATAGCGATGAACTAAATCCCAGATCTCTGGGCGCTGGACCTTCACACTGAGAATGACACCAGGTTTCTCTTCAAGATCTGCTGATGCCACTGAAGCGAGCTCTAGAGATGGCCAAGACGATGAGCTTTTCATGAGCCATGGTGGTCCGTGCCACCAGTTCATGTGAAGAGAGTTGAGCTGTGGTTAGCCCACGAGATGCGCAATCAGCTGGGTTTTCCTTGCCAGGAACAAGTTTCCATTGAGCTTGCGAGATCTCTTGTATGAGCTGGACACGATTTCTTACGAATTCCTTCCATCTGGACGGGTGTGAGTTGATCCACGTAAGCGTAACTGATGAGTCAGTCCACAAGAACGTCGGAGCGTTTGAGAGATTGAGCTCGTCTTTGACGTACCTTACGAGTTTGGCAAGAATAACCGCCGCTGTGAGCTCTAGCCTTGGGATTGTCAGCCGTTTGAGAGGAGCTACTTTCGTTTTCGCGCAGACCAAAGAAATCCGAGGCTCTTCATCTCCATTAAAGACTTTTAGATAGACTACGGCTGATATTGCGAGAGTAGAAGCATCTGAGAATCCGTGAATTTCAATCGACGAATTCTAGAGCAGGCCTAACCATCTTGGAACAGATAACTTCGAGAGCGGAGTGAGATCATTCCGAAAACTTTTCCAATGCTGAGCCACTTGATCTGGAATTTCATCATCCCAGCCGAGCTTACCAACTCAAGTCTCCTGCATGAGCAGTTTTCCTCTGATCACGACAGGAGATAGAAACCCGAGCGGGTCATATATCTGAGCGATCTCTGAGAGGATGGTCCTCTTAGAAACTTTCGATTCATCGCTGGTCCGACTTGAGAAGACGAAGTTACCCGAGCTGGGCTGCCACGATCAACCAAGAATGCGGGTCTCCGAATCCTCATAAACTCGCTGGTCATTGGAAGGACTATCAGGAGCGAGCCACTGGAGTAGCGCTGGACTGTTACTATGCCATTTTGCCAGAGGCATTCCTCCAGCAGCACAGAGATCACGAATTTCTTGAGCGGTCCTGACGAGTTGGTCATGCGTGTCTGCACCTCCACAAATGTCATCGACGTATCTTCCTTTCACGATGGGCGATACGGTCAAAGGGAACCGATGTCCTTCATCCTCAGCCAGCTGAAGCAGAACACGATTCGCGAGAAACGGAGCTGATCTTGTCCCGTATGTGACCGTGGTCAGTTGATACATGACTATTTCCCCACTTGAGTTGGTCCATAAAATCTGCTGCAGGGGCCAGTCGTCCTCGTGAACTCTGATCTGGTGAAACATCTTAGTGATGTCCGTCATAAAGATGACCTTGTGCTATCTTGACCAGAGCAGCACGTCCGAAATATCTCTCTGCAACTTGGCTCCGGTATGGAGAATGTCGTTGAGCGAGTTCCCTGAGCTGGTCTTCGCTGACCCGTTGAACACTACTCTCAGTTTCGTCGTTTCACTGCTCTCTCTGACTACACCATGATGAGGTGAATAGTAACTCCTGTGAGCGTCTGACGGCCCTACCTGAAGCCCTTCAAAGACCCTCAACCCTCCTGAAGTTTGCGCTTCATCTGCTAAGGTCATCTCGTTAGAACAACAAGCGGTTTCCGCCTGAACCGAAGATGAAGAGCGATGAGTTGAGCGAGTTACTGCTCTCATATGGTTGAGATGTTCATAATCCTTGAGAAAGTCAGAGTAGAGCTGGAGAAAACGCGGATCTTTTGAGATCCTACCGAGCATCCGATGAAGACAAGCTAGCACTGGACGATAGGAATTCCCTAATGACGAAACTGGAGCTGAGAAGGGCAAACCAACGACGTATCGACCTGAGCTGTCCCTTGAGTGAGTCTGACGGAAGTGCTGTTCACACTCCAATTAGTCCTTTGAGAGATTCGCGTCAATGCGCCCAGGAATTTCCTCCTGAACCCAAAACTTGGTGAGAAGGTCGTTGAGCTCGTCGTTCGATACGCTGAGGTGATGAGAAGAGCAAGATGTTGGCTGATCAGGTCCCGCTGGTCCGAAAACAATCCAGCCAAAGCTGGTGAGTTGAGCGACTGGAGCCTTAACTCCTCCTCTAATCACGGTGGGCTTAATGACCTGGCCAAAAACATCAGCACCGACGAGAAGATCAATTGGTGCAGAGACTCGAAAATGAGGATCAGCAAGCTCTAAACCCTTGATATGATCCCACTTAAGGCCCTCTGCTGAGAAGGACGGTAGCGTTGAGGTGAGACGATCAAGAGAGTGAGCTGTAACTTCAATGCGTTCTTCTGAGTGGATCGATTGTAGCGTGAGATGTACTTCGCCGGACGTTGTCCCAAACGATGATCCTCCTACTCCGGTAACGTGGATAGAACTACGAGTTTTCTTAAATTTAACTTCCGAACTAGCTTATCTGAGATGAGCGAGAGTTCGGAGCCTGAATCCAACAGGAGTCAAACTTGATGCGGGGGGCAAAAATCGCTAACGAGAAGAGCTAAATAAGTTACGAGAAGAACTCCAGGCCGAGACATTTGCGCAGAACAACTGTGAGCCGAACAACAAATCGACGCTTGGGACGATCCGCTTCAGGCCTGAGAATGAGCTGAAGACGTAGCCTGAGTAGAGTCACCGGTGTAAGTGTAAGTCATGACAGGTGCGCTGGTCAATGGAGCGGAAGTACTCGGGCACTGCGCTCCTAAATCGTTGAGCGGAACTTGGGACGCTGGACCACGTTGAGCTGGACGGCGGGAGCGATCCAAATGCAGCAGGGTATGGTGCCTTTCCTGGCATTGGAAGCACTTACGAGTGGTCTGACATACCTTGATGCTGTGCTTCCCCAAACAGTTGAAGTACAGATAGAGACGATCCACGACTTCCTTTCGACCAGCTGGCGAAAGATGCTTGAATTGACTGCAAGAGGCGATGTAATGCTCCCCCTTGCAGTATGAACAGCCTCAGCCTCAGCCCGTGATTGAGTTGGAGTGGACTGTAGTTTACGCGCTGGACCTTGAGGCTGGTGAGACGGCTGGTAAACTGGCCGATTGGAAGTTACTGCGTTGACCTTGCCGCTGGACTTCGATGCAGGACGAGATTGTACGCTGAGCTGCGAAGATTTCGTTGAGCTTGAGTTGAGAGAACTAGACCCAACTTCTAAAGTTTCCATCGCCCTGGAGCGACCTTGTAGAAACTCGGCGAGCTGTTCCAGAGAAGGATACTCAGATGAGGCCCCGATTTTGTTTTCCCACGCCTCACGAAGCTTGTTGGATAGTCGATGGACAATGACATGGACAACCACTGGACCCCACTGTTCAGTAGGTTGTCCCACAGCTTTGAGTGCGCTGAGTGTCTCCGAGACTGAGCTGGTCAAGAAATTGAGCTCCGTGGCGCTGTGAGACGACATCGAAGGCGGATGCAGAAGCTAGTCCAAATGAGCTGAAACTAGCAAACGTTGGTTCTCGTAGCAGTTCGTAAGGATTCCCCAAGCTATCGAGAAGGATTCCTCCGAGACGGGCAAATTCGAAATCAGCTTAAGTGGTTCACCACAAAGAGAGACGAACGTAGTGCATGCGCTCAACTCCCGGAATGTCTGGGTTATTCCCGACCAGAGAGTGGAATAAGTGACGCCATGGCCTCCACTCTCTATAAACTCCAGAGAACTTGGGGAGTTCGATCCCTGGAAGCGCCCTACGTGTCAAGCTGGACGAATGACCTTCAGTCTGGCCTCCACGCATGGTCTGATTGAGGTTTGGAGCCGTGTTATTCTCCATCAGTTGCGTTATCGCGGTCGTAGCTGTCGCGTATCTAGTCAGCACTTGGTCAAAAACCTGATTTTTGAAATAAGAGAGCTCCAGTAAACCCTCCATCTTCGAACCACTAGCTACGAGCTTCTCATGAGTGGACTCAAGTTTGTCCCAATATTTCTCGAGCAGCGCCAACTTGGACTCCAGCGCAGCAATTCCAAGCTGCTTCGCGCTATCCCCCTTTGCTTCGTCGCAAGTTTCCTCGATAAATGCTGCTCGAGTCATTTGAAGCGTGATATGTATCGAAAAAATATGTAATAGGACCGCTCAAATATTCCGTCACACGATTAGGGTTGGGGGGGTGTAGGGATTGAGGTGTATTCAGGAAGGTAACAATCCACTAACAAATGCAATTAATCTAATAATTACAGATTTATTATCCGCGTCAAATTAATACAGAGGTGAAGAGAAAATAATATGATCCTATCAAGTGTGCGATACGAGCTGTAATGTTAGACTTGATTGTATTCGCACGGAAAAGTATCAGCGAGGCTGCCAAATATCCTTACGATTTGACGAATCAGAAAAGAATACGCGTGGCACTGAAGGTGCGTGAAGGCACGGCAAACGCCTGTGCTCATCGTTAGCCAGTGTTCGCGTTTTAGGATGTAGCGAGGCGCTGCATGACTCCCCTGCTTAAAGTAAAAAACATAGTTTTTTTGAATCTGCAACAGAAAATGATTATTCTAGGAACAGGAAAATTTATCAGGTTTGGCAAGCACGCGAAAAAAAATATTTTCGAATGAGGAGACTTAGACGTGGTAGACGTGAATGTTCGGTCTGTTGGCGAATGTTACGCCTCTCCTCCGTCTTCCAGCAGCGGGTGCCGTGCTCGTGCTCGGCTGTGGCTGGTCCTGTTGTTGAGGCTCGTCGGGTACGTCTTGGTGCGGAGTCTGTCCTGGAAGCTGAGCCATGTCCTCCGGCAGTATGTACGCTGGTTTCAGTCGGTCGATGGAGATCGGTGTGTTCTTGTAGTATCCCAAACCTCCGGACTTGAACCAGATGACGAAATATTTGTCGTGCCGACGGATGACGCGAAATGGGCCGATGTATGGTGGTCGGTAAGCCATTCGCACGTGGTCGTCGCGAACGAAAACATGCGTACATGTTGATAAGTCCTTGAAAATGAACGTTGAACGTGTACCATGGTGTGCAGCTGGAACAGACGCGATTGTATGAAAATGTTCGCGTAGTCTTCTCACCAATACTGGTGCTACCGTTTGTTGGTTTGCTGACACGAGGAACTCTCCGGGTTGACGGTTCCCCATACGTTAGCTCAGCAGGGGTCGTTTGAAGGTCGTCCTTCCACGCAGATCTCAACCCTGAAAGTATCAGGAGAAGTGCGTCGAACCAAGCTCCGCCGTGACATCGCA